ATATATACAGGGCTTGAAAAATGTGATGGTGTCTCACCAGTCAGTCAAAAATTTCACCATTCACAATTTTTGGGGACAGATAGAGCTTTCTTTTGGAAGTATATAATCACCACGGGCGGTGTTATTTTTTTTTCTCTATATAATGAAAAAAGTACCATAAATGTAGCAGAAGTGGAGCTGTAATTGTTGGCAAAATCTCCAAAATTGTTCACATTTGTGTGATGTCCATTTTTTAATCGGTTCCATATTTAAAATGTTTTTCCTTCTTTTTATAATGTCTCTTGTGTATCCTATCCAACAAATGAAAGCACGGTGTCCATTCACTTTTTCTACATTAGATCATTGGGTCTATTTACAGAGCAAAGCGCAGTGATGTAAAGGGACCCATCGCAAATTGCTCTAATTGCTCAAATTGAAGAAATGCTCTTGTTTGCTCATAGCAACCAAATTCTCCTTTTTGTGTCAGTATGGCGGTATGGGAGAATGAAGGGGAGAACCTGGTTGCCATGAATAGACTGCCTTCTGCCTGGACAGCAAACTGCATTATTAGTACATTAACATTTTAATATTGCAATGCCTGTTTTTATGAGGATGTTTACGGCCGCAGTTAATTAACCAGCCTGTTTAATTCCTGAAGTTTCGGGAACTCCTGCATGGCAGCACAATGTCTTGTTTGCTTCATGATATATTGGCTGTATTAAAAGTTCATGTAAATGCTGTGATATTCTTCTTGGCAAAACTTGTGTTTCCTCTTGGATTGGGAAATGGATCAGAACATCTTTTATGTGTTTTTGGGTTTGTTTTTTTGGGGGGTTCCAGGCTTTTAGGGCTACAATCGGGGTTATCATGAGAAAGTGTGAGGTCTGGTGTCGATAATGAATATGCCGAGTAGCCACATGTGTACCAGTCTGTAAATACCCCCTCTTTTCCCGACCATTTTTCAGTTGTCAGTGCTGTGATAGTTTGACAATTACTCTTGTTATGTAGCACTGTACTCAAATACATTTAATATAATTTTTTCGAGACAGATGGAGCTTTCTTTTGGTAGTGTTTTAATATTATTCCCTACATTTTAAGTCGCTAGTACTATCTTTTCACCCCTTAGCGACCAGTTATGTGCATAGTACGTCATTGGCAGCGGGCCCGTTTTAACAGACTCTGTTTACATTTGTAGAGCCAGCTGTCAGCTTTGCAAAAAAAGCGATTCTGGTGGATTCAGATCGCTTCTATGGGCTGGTAAAGTGCCCACACCCCCGCCCGACAACCTCGCCGACACCCCCGCCGTGTTTCCCGGGCTCCACTGCCCCTCTTGCTGGCCCGGGACCAGCATCTCGGGTGTTTGGCAGGAAGCTGGGAAGGAGAGCGGCGAATGTCCATTCATCATCACCTCCACTTTCTATGGGACTGGAAGCGACGCGTACTGCATCACTTCCGGTCCCTGAGCTGTCATTGCTGGGCTACTGAAGCCAAGCAATAAGCTACTGAAGTGCGATCTGCATTTCAATAACTTATTTAAAGTGGAAAGGTGACACTACGGGTCTTTTGGACCTCCAGTATCGCCTTAAAGAGTACCGGTCACCACCAATATGCTGTCACATGGGGGCTTGTAAGCAAAACAAAAACGTTTACAAAATAAATAAATAAATGTAAGAATAATACAATTATTTTTTTTAAAGCCCCCGTGATTAAATTAAACACGCGTCAGGTGCACCTATGTACGAAAACATGGATTGCACTACACATGTTGGGTATCGCCACACGTGCCAGAGTGAGAGCAATGATTCTAGGGCCAATATTTATGCGTAATTTGATGACCTTTAGGGGCTCTTAAAGCGTTGTCTATTGATTTTTTGGGGTACTGAATTCTGTCGCTGTTTTCACAGACACGCACAATTTTTAACCTGGGCATGTTGTATCTATTTACTCATCATAAACTCATCTTTTATATTTTACAAAAAAAAAAGGGTATTATATGGTGTTTTGGGGCACTTAATTTAACTTAAGTGCATTTTTAAACAAAATGTTTGGGTTTGATAGAGTTGCGCTAATATCGTACAACATAAAAATTTGCAGCTGCCGCCCTTTCATTCTATAGGGTCTTGGCTTTCAGAAAATATATAATGTTTGGGAGTTTGAAATAATTTTCAGGCCTAAAATGTGTATTATAACATGTGTGCAAAAAATGAAAAAAAGGCCTTGGCGGTGAAAGGGTCCTTAAGGGGTTAATACAATGTTTCCGGTGCATACGAGAAGCGATATGGTTTTGGGGTCTCTTCCAAACTTTTTAGTGTGTGATGAATGTAAAATATTTGCTTTGCTGTCTGAGGCAAAAAATGGGAGGCAGTGCTCAGCAGTGGAAAGGTTAAACTACAACATTAGATAAGTGTATTACAAATTTGCTACAAATTGTGACAATTGGTTTCTACTTGAAGAAAATAATCTATTTGAAGTGATGCTTCCTTTTCCTTTATATGATATTTAATGTAAATATTATATTTTATGTTACTGGTACCCTTAGACATGTATCTGTGAGGTACGACAGTATTTAAAAAGTTCATCCACCCTAAACTGTGTTTTTTGGTCTCCGGTGGAGGCTTCTCTTAGATTCTGGTAGAGAGTCAGACCACCTGCCCTTTTCTTTCTCTTTCTTTGATCTTTTGGGGGATCCTATTAGTGAGACCCTTGGTTGGGTTCCTGGGTCTTCACACCTGCTGCCAATATGTGCGGCTACCACCCTCAACTGTATGTTTTGCTATTTATTTTACATTTTGGAGAATATCTGCTGCGATAAATGCTGGAATTTTGGAGTTGAAAAAGAACACCTAAAACTCCAGGAATAAGAGCATAATGAGCAAGATCTCCCTGTTGAAGCATCCACAACAAGGCACCGAACCTGAGCTCACCCTAGCGCGGAAGGAAGCCGTCAGTGCTGGCCCAATTGAGCTGCGGGCTGGGCATTCCACAGCTGCACATAAACAAAAGGGCCAGATTGCTGGTGTCATCCTTGACCTTGTATGGCTACATGGCTGTGAACAAATAAATGAAAATTACTTTTATTAGCATTTACTTAAGGAGGACCTGGATAAAATAGGGGATTGGGCAACTATATGGCAGATGAGGTTCAATGTTGATAAATGTAAAGTAATGCATTTTGGGGTTAAAAATAGGCAATCAGAATACACATTAATGGGAACTCCACTAGGGAAGTCAGAAATGGAAAAAGATCTGGCAGTTCATAGTAGACTACAGATTGAATAATAGCATGCAATGCCAGGCTGCGGCAAATAAAGCGAGCAGAGTATTGTCATGCATTAAAAAGGGAATGTACTGTAGAGACAAAGCAATCATTTTGCCACTTTATAGATCGCTGGTTCGGCCACATCTTGAGTATGCGGCTCAATTTTGGTCAACAATCCACAGAAAGGATGTCCTGGAGCTGGAGAGAGTCCAGAGAAGGAGAGAAGGGCAACCAAACTAATTAAGGAGCTGGAGGATCAAAGCTATGAGACAAGGTTACTAAATTTAGACCTGTTCACACTGGAAGTGAGGAGATTAAGGACATGATTCTGATGTACAAAATGTTTGGTGGTGATGGCAACATCACCACCAAACATTTTGTACATTTTGCAAACTCCCTAACAAGGACTAGAGGCCACTACCTAAAATTGGTGGAGAAAAGATTTAACCACAAAGGGCGTAGGGGATTCTTTTCAGTTAGAGCGGTAACATTTTGGAACTCTCTGCCACAAGCCGTGGTATCAGCAGAGATTATTGAATCATTCAAAAATCATTTAGATACCTTCCTCTGAGACCATAACATACAGGGGTATAGGTACACATAAAAACTAAGACCACACAGGGACTCATTTACACACATGCACGCACAACACACACAGACACAAAAAGGTTGAACTTGATAGACCTGTGTCTTTATTCAACCTCAAATACTATGTAACTGTATATATTTAAAGCGTTGCACAAACTGTTTGTTTTTTATAATACAGGATATAAATCCTGTATTATAATAATAATATTTAAAAATGGGGATAAAAATGTTGTCAATACAATGCTGACCATGGATGAGGAGTAAAATGAAATCTAGAGAGTTGTCGGCTGGATTTATTTTTTTTTTTTGCCCTTGTCTCAGAGCAGTCAGTTCTATATTCCTTAAAAGTGATTTTAATTATGGGAAGAGCTGTATTTCCACAATGCTAGAGCTGCTGAATATACCAACGCTTCTAAATAATATTTAACTAATATTGCATGGCTATGAAGTGAGCCCTCTAATAACTAAACTGCAGTAATGGTTGTGTTGCATTTTGTGTTTCTTACATTAAAACTATCATCTTGCCTGTTGCCTACTGGTATACTCTTGTCCTTTTGTATATATGTTCCTTATTTGTTATATGTTTGTTATATGTGCATATTGTCATCTTTTTCTTGATTTAAATGTATTTCATTTTATAGGACCACCTTTTAAAAAAAAAAAAGAGTTTTCCACCCAACCACAAGATTTCTGTGTTGTTTGGAATCTATCTACAGTTTATAATAGCTTTTATGTACAGTGAAAGTGGGACCCCTGCCAAAACAAAGATTTGTTTTGTATAAATTGGAGAAGAGTTGAACTCTGCATTCTTTAATGCGGTGCCCCGTTTAGGAAAATATGCCTTGGGAAACGGACCTGAGGGCCTGTTCACACGACGTCCGTTTTGCTGACCTAATCCGTACGCTCCTGCACTAAAAATGCATCCCAATGTATCCCTATGTGTTTTA